TCTCTCTGTATCTATGATCTTGGGGTTTTTGCTTTGGTTTGGTTTACATTCCACATATAAGTGAGATCAGATTGCCTTTCTCTTGGTCTGTCTGACCTACTTCACTTAGCATCATGCCCTCAGGGTTCATCCACGTTGTCACAATTGGCAAGATTTCATTATTGTCTTATGGCTGAATAATATTCCAGTGTGTGGAGTGTGTGGTGTGTGTGTGTGTGTGTGTGTGTGTATGCCACATTCTCTTTATTAATCCATTGATGGGCACGTAGTCGTTTCCATATCTTCACTATTGTAAGTAATGCTGTAATGAACATGTAATGAACAGGAGTATGCCTATATCTTTTCAAGTTAGCGTTTTCATTTTCTTTCAGTGAAATACTCAGATATAGAATTGCTGGATCATAAGGTAATTCTATTTTTAACTTTTGGAGGAACCTCTCTCTATACTGTTTTCCATAGTGGCTGCACCAATGTACATTCCCACCAACAGTGCACAGAGTTCCCTTTTAGCCAATTTTCTTCACCAACACTTATTACTTCTTGCCTTTTTTTTCAAGTTTATTTATTTTGAGAGAGACAGCATGATCAGGGGAGGGGCAGAGAAAGAAGGAGACAGAGAATCCCAAGCAGGCTCCACATTGTCAGTGCAGAGCCTGATGCAGAACTCAAACTCCTGAGCCACGAGACCATGACTTGAGCTGAAACCAAGAGCTGGACACTTAACCAACTGAGCCCCCCAGACTAGATGTGAGGTGATATCTCATCATGGTGAAGCAATTTCAATATTTTTGATCTTGTATTTTCATCCCCTGACATTTCCCTACCAACAGCCTAGCCTCCCATTAATAAAAACTATGTGCCTTTTCTCCTGTCTTTTATTAGTTTAATTCATAGGCTACTTGACCCTAAATTCCAGGGTGTAAGGAAATGTGTTTCCTCCCTGACTTCTTTCAACATAATGCAGAAGTCATGAAAAAAGGAGTAATCAGGGAAAGATCTTCAAATAAGAAAAAAAATAAAACTCAGGGGAATTCACTACTTCCCTGACAGCAAAGGAAAGTAAGCCATTGAAGGAAAATGAGGAGTGACAGAGAAAGGAAAAGAAAATGTGGAGAGTGGGGTCACAGAATTTAAAGGAGGTGAGCATTACGGTAAAACAGCATCAGACGCTATAGACGTTTCCAGTTAGATGCATCCAGAGGATTTAACAACAAAATATAACTGAAACCATCGTCATCATAATTGTTTCAGTAGCAATGAGGAGGGAGCTGAAAACAAGCTGCAAACGAAGAGAAGATAGGGAAGGGCTATGCTTGCTCCCTGCTGCGGTGGTAACAAATTACCACAAATTTAGTGACTTGAGCCAACATAAGCTTATTATCCCATAGGCTCGTAAGTCAGAAGCCAAGAGGACTACACTTTAGTTCTCACCAGGCTAAATCTAAGGGCGCGCTGGCCAGGCTCTTATCTGGAGGCTCCGGGGGGAAAATCTATCCTTTCAAGTTGTTGGCAGAATTGGGTTCCATGTGGTTGTTGGACTGAGTATCCCATTTCCTTGCTGGCGGCCAGCCGGGGATTCGAGGGGCTGCCTCCATTCCTTGGCTCCAACTTCAAAGCCAGAGATAAATAGCTGGTCGGATCCTGGTCACACTTTGAATCTCCCTGACCTCTCCTCCTGGTCCATCCTTCCCGCCTTCCTTTTCTGCTTTAACGGCTCCAGTGATCACACTGGGTCCACGCAGATAATCGAGGTTAATCTCCCTTCGTCAAATTCAGCGGACTGGTGACCTAATTCTATCTGCCAAGTACTTTCATAGAAGTCTCTAGATTAGTGTTTGATGAAGAAGCCAAGGGATTGGAATCTTGGGGCAAACGTTGTTAGAATTCTGGCCACAAGTGGTAACAACGAGCATAGAAACTCTTTCAAGAAATCGGGTTATAAATCTTTGAGAAGTAGTGTCGTGCCAAGGAGAAGCTGTTTTGGGTTTGTATAAAATGGGAAAGACTCAGACACATGCAGAGTCAGAAGGGAACAGCAACAGAGAAGAACATTTTGAAAATAAAAGAGAAAAAATGTGAAAAACGGAGCCACCTCTGAGGAGGTAGACAGAAGTGGGGCCCGGATCACAGGCGGAAGCCCCTCCTGGGTGTTACAGGCAGGAAGGAGGGGAGGAAGTTTGTAAGTGTCAAGAAGTTGCAGTTGTAGAAAGTCATTAAGGGAGTTCTGCTAACCACCATTATTTTCTCTCAGGCAATTCTCAAAGTGGTGTCCCTGGACCAGTACCATCAACGTCACCAGAGAACTCACCAGAAAAATAAATTCTAAGGTCCTACTCCAGACCTACTTAACCAAAACCTCTAGGAATGTGGCCCAGAAATCTGTGTTTAACAAGCCCACCATGTGATTAGGATACAGCTTAAGTTTGAGAATCACTCTTATGGTCAAAGACAGGGTCATGCCTAAGACTGCAGAGGAACGGGTGCTGGGGAAGTCGTGAAGAGAATGTGAAGGTTGGAAAGAGCTGTGGGAAGAAAAAGGGAGAAGACTGAGAACATATGGCGGCCACGATCCTGCCAGACTCCAGGAAGCAAATTCTAGTCCTGGGTGTATAAAGATGGAATGTGAGATCCAGTAGTCTTTTGACCAAAAAAAATAGGGTAATAGAATTATTACCTATTGGAATATGAATTATTGGCAATATATATGGACAATAGAAATAACTGATAACAGGGGGGCATCCTGACTGGAGGAAAGAACACTGCTTTTGGGTTTTTTTTTAATTTTTAATGCTTATTTATTTTTGAAACAGAGACAGAGAGAGAATGAGCAGAAGGGCAGAGAGAGAGGGAGACACAGAATCCGAAGCAGGCTCCAGGCTCTGAGCCGTCAGCACAAATCCCGATGCGGGCTTGAACTCACAAGCCTTGAGATCATGACCTGAGCTGAAGTCAGACGCTCAACTGAGCCACCCAGGTGCCACAAGAGCATTGCTTTACCGTCAACATGATCTGGATTACACTCTGCCACTACCCAGCCTGGGAGTTCAAGAAATTGACTTAATCTGAGCCTATTTCCCCAACAGGGGAACAGAAATAGAACAGAGGTGTGGAAATCCCAGCCCGTTAAATAGAGCACATGGAAATTCTTAGCCCAGAAACTGACACACAGGTGAGAACTATTATCAATTCACTGGGATATTTGTCAGATTCTGTCAAACTAACAGATGAACCCTAGATCATGTTTCCTAATCCTGGTACTCTCTGCTCAGTTTCCTCCAGCGAGGCTGGACTCCACACACCTTCTCATTTCAGGACCCAACTCAACAGAGAAGCTCCACAGACATCCTAGATGCTCGTGACAGAGAGCAAGGTGCAAAACTGTGATCGCAAGCAAAGCAGTGGCATTTAAAGCCACCCACACTCCACTCGCCAGCTCAGGTCATAAGGCCAAGGTTAAAGCCAGTCAAGTGGCCATGTGAACACCACTCAGGAAAACACGGCAAGGGTAGAGAAAGAAAAAATAATATGAACATATTCTATTATCCTATTATGATGACTCTGAGTAATACCAAAGATGTTAGCCTGGATTGTTTGGGATGAAGCTCTAATGAAAAGCAAAAGCCAGGGGACAAAGGGCATCCCGACCCTCATCAAGACGAGAAAGCCTTTTTCAGATTCTGGAAACTTAATTACTTTTGCAACACACATGTTCGTTATCTCTGACCACATGGTCGGTATATTAGTTTTCTAGGGCTCCCTTCATACAATTCCATAAACTAGGTGGCTTTCACAAAAAGGCAGTCCCTACAGTTGTGGAGACTAGAAGTCCCGTCAGCAGGGCTAATCCCCCCCTGAGGGCCGAGGGAAGAATCTGTTCTAGGCTCTACTCCTCGGCTTGTAGACGGCCATCTTCGTTTTCAGACGGCGTTTTCCCTGTGTGCATGACTGTGTCCACATTTCCCTTCTATTAAGGACTTAATAAAAGGTCACCTTCTATTAAGGGACCATCCAGCTTCAGTAGAACTTCATCATAACTAATTACATCTGCATCAACCCCATTTCCAAATAAAGGTTACATTCTGAGGTACTGGGGGCTGGACTTCAATACATGAATTTGGAGGAACACAGTTCAACCCATAAGAGGCAACATTCAAACATTTAAGAGACCGGCCTTGTTTTCAGGCAAGACATTGGATTGCTACTCTCCTATCCCAGCCTTTCTTCTTGACAAAGGAACCCCAAGTAGTGAGTTTTAAACGCTGACAAAACAGAGCCATGAACTGGGTCCCTTTACATACTAAACCGGGAACTGACATCTTTCACCCACTGGGAAGCCTGGGGTACAGAACACTAGTCAAAAAGACAAATCCTAGAGAGCCTCAAAGATCTCTGAGGATTCTTGGTCAAGTCACATTCGTTGTGTAAGCTGAACACTTGCCATCTGCCCAAACTCCTTCATACCGAGGCCAGAGTCTGTGCTGCCTCTTTGTGGCTAAACACATGCTCGGCTGGTTATGGATCAGGAAGAGGCAGGCGGAGAAGGCCAGCTGACCACAGGGCTGTGTGGCCCGTTCCCACTCACGGCGGCTTCAAGAGTCAGGAGCCAGCAGGTAAGGCTTCCGGGGACCACGCGTGATCTCACCAGGACAAGGCCTCCCCCCAACACCTGGCTCCCCTTGACCTTTCTTACTTCCGTCAAGGCCACATTCTATCTGGCACTGCAAAGAACAAGGCCCCTTCTCCCTCTTCCCTGTGGGCATCTCCCGCTCCTAGAAAGGTCACTCCTTTCATAGACAATGTTAGAGGTCAGCTTGCACCTGCTGTCCTCTGCCGAAGTAAATGATCATCGTTCACTTAGATGGGATTTACTGTCTCCCTAGCTCTTTGTCGGTCTCTCTGCCACCCTTTTGATTCTTTATAAACTCTTGCCCTCCTCCCAAACCCACCAACACCGTGCTGCCTCCTTCCCACACCCACACCGACCCTTCTCTTACCTGTGAAGGCTCAACTCAGCAGCTCAGGGAAGGAGGGGCGACCCCTGCATGTGCTCCTGGGTCCCCAGTAAGAGCCATAAGCTGATTGTGACAGATGACGCTGTAATATTCCAGATGACGCCGTAATATTCCCAGCCTGGGCTCAGAGCAGACCTGGAGTATAGATGCGGTCCTTCTGTCACATTCCTCAACATCGCATGGCCCCAGGACTCAACCACCGCCAGAATCCAGGCCGGCTCAGCACGGAAGGAGTTAACTAGGGAAGGCCCGCAGGGTCTATCCACGCTCCTGCCAACAGAACTAAGTTCTGGCCCAGAGATGTTCATCAGGACCCACGACCTGGTGCAATACTAACATAGCACCTCTACCAGGGCTCCTGGGTGTCTCAGTCAGCTAAGTGTCCAACTTTCAGTTCCAGCTCAGGTCATGATCTCCCGGTTTTGTGAGTTTGAGCCCTGCATCGGGCGCTGTGCTGACAGCATGGAGCCTGCTTGGGATTCTCTCTCTCTGCCCCTCCCCAACGCCTGCACGCACTCTCTCAAAATAAATAAACTTTTAAAAAAGTACCTCTAACAAAACCTCAAAAGACTGTGCTGGGTTGTATAGACAGCAAAGCCTGGAAAGTGGCTCCCACGCCGGCCCGAAATGCAAATTAAATATAATAAAGGTGCTGGTGGGGAGGGGAGACTATGATGGATCCACCTGCATTTCTAGGGCCTTTGTCTGAATCCTCTTCCCAGTGGACCTGAGCCAAGACATCAAGGTTCCTCTGTCGGGGCTACCTGTCCCCTGAATGTCTGGAAGGGGGTCAGCATCGTCTTCCGAACTTCCCCCACACCTTTTGCTCAAAATCACCTCAGCAGCCAAAACACCACTCCTCAGCGCCAGGTGGACATGAACACCCGCCGGCTGGGCCTGCCTATGTCCACGCCCTGCGGAATCGCAAGCTCCAGATGTCCAAACCCAAACTGACTAGCATCCGCCACAACCCACACAGAAGCTTTCACGGCCCAGCCGCAAACTCAGCCCACTGGATCCGCCCCAAACACCCTGCACCTCGTGCCTCCTCCACTCACCACCTGTCCAGGCTCCCCGTGTTGCACGGGTCGTGAGGCAGCGGGGCAGGCACGTGAATGAGAACACCTGTGTTCAGACCGTGCTCCTTCCACAAACCAGCCCAGTGCTTCCAAACAAGGCAGTGAACTTGTTAGCCTCTGTATTCTCACATTTAAAATAGGACCTAATGGGGGCACCTGGGTGGCTCAGTCAGTTAAGCAACCGACTTAAGCTCAGGTCATGATCTCATGGTTCGGGAGTTCTGGCCCCACGTTGGGCTCTGTGCTGAGCGCTCAGAGCCTGGAGCCTTGTTTCAGATTCAGTGTCTCCCTCTCTCTTTGCCCCTCCCCAGCTCGCACTCTGTGTCTCTCTCAAAAATAAATAAACTTTTAAAAAAATAAAATAAAATAGGATTTAATGAGGCAATCTCAGTAAAGAAGGGTTTGTCAGTCTCCTTGAATTCTGAATTCAGTTCAGTGCCCTTGACATTATCCTCCTGGCGAATAGTGCCTCCAGAAAGACAGCCACTCTGTGTCCCTGCACCTTAAATAAAATGGAAAGTTGGGGCACCTGGGCGGCTCGGTCAGTTAAGCATCTGACTCTTGGTTTCAACTGAGGTCATGATCACACAGTAAGTCAGCTCTGTGCTGACAGTGTGGAGCCTGCTTGTGACTCCCTCTTCTCCATCACTCTCTGCCCCTCCCCCACTCACTAACACTCTCTCTCTCTCTCTCTCTCGAAATTGAATTAACAAACTTAAAATTTTTTAAAAAATGGAACCTCAAACTTGATTAAAATTAAAACTGTTTCACAATTTTACTGAATCTATATTTAAGTGATTTTATATACAAAGAATATTATTTTAGCTCTGTGTGTCTGAAAGAATGTATTATACAGTTTATTTAAATAGTCTTAACAATACATATTCATTTATTCAATAAATATGGATTGCAATTATAATATGTGCCTGGTATTGTTCTAATTCATAAAGACATGTGTGAACTTATTTCATCGGTGATATGCTGTTTATTTTAAATTATTTCTGTGTAAAAAATATTTTTGACAAAAATAAATTTCTAACTGGTGCCATATCACATGATTTGAAAACAATTTATATCAAAATATGTATTCACATCAACCTTATGTTAAGTCCTCAAAATTAGTCAGAAACTGCCATCACCACCTCTAAAGTTCTGAATTCATTCATTTTGCATTAAAATACGCAGGGGGTTAATATCTGTATGTTTTATTTCTAACTGACAAGATGAGAAAAAGGGTCACCTTCTCTTTGCAATAATACACTGGGTATGGATAGCATTTGCTCCCATTTAATGAAAAAGAAAACTAGAGCATAAGCAACACTCTATTTTCTCATTTTCACCTATACTTTAGGCTAGACTTTCACTAAAATATCTGATCAGCAGAAGATAACTCAAGCCTATGATAAATATCTACTTGAAGGGGATTGGCAGAAATGTTTTCAGTTTCCACTCCTAACTTGCTATATATTTTTTAATTTTTTTAATGTTTATTTAGTTTTGAGAGACAGAGTGTGAGTGGAGGAGGGTCAAAGAAAGAGGGAGACACAGAATTGGAAACAGGCTCCAGGCTCTGAGCTGTCAGCATAGAACCTGACACAGGGCTCGAACTCACGAACCGTGAGATCATGACCTGAGCCAAAGTCAGACGCTTAACCAACTGAGCCACTGAGGGCCCCCCATAACTTGCTATATTTTAAAGTCTAACCAATGGCACTTTATAGGAGTATATGAAACAATAGCTAAGAGCAAAAACCACCAAGTATATAAAGATGCCCGGAATAGCTACTGGTATTCAGCCACGTGTAACCCATCCGCCATGCGGGGGAATCACAAGGCTCTCATTTAAAACACACCTAGAGGGGCGCCTGGGTGGCTTAGTCGGTTAAGCGTCCGACTTTCGCTTAGGTCATGATCTCGCGGTTCGTGGGTTTGAGCCCCGCGTCGGGCTCTGTGCTGACTGCCAGCTCAGAGCCTGGAGCCTGTTTCAGTCTGTGACTCCCTCTCTCTCTGACCCTCCCCTGCTCACGCTGTCTCTCTCTCTCTCTCCTAGAAATAAATAAAATCTTTAAAAAAAAAAAAAAAAAAACACACCTAGAAGGGGCGCCTGGGTGGGTAGTCGGTTAAGCATCCGACTTTCGCTTAGGTCATGATCTCGAGGTTCGTGGGTTCGAGCCCCTCATCGGGCTCTGTGATGACTGCCAGCTCAGAGCCTGGAGCCTATTTCAGAGTCTGTATCTCCCTCTCTCTCTGACCCTCCCCTGCTCACGCTGTCTCTCTCCCTCTCCTAGAAATAAATAAAAAATATTTTAAAAAAAATAAAATAAAATAAAACACACCTAGAAGATCTCATGTTGTTCTGTTTCTAAAATGCACACAAATACTATTATACTTACTCATTCACAGACACTGGAACCCATTGTCTGTAGTGATGTAACCACCCTCAAACACCTTTGCAAACCATGCATCCAGGAGCACTTCGCAGGGGGTATATCTCATAGTTTCCTTTCCAGTGTGAAAGGAAACACATCCTGCTGCCTAAGAAATTCTTCTTCCATCCGTCCTGCAATCTAAATACCATACTACTGCTCCCGTTTAAAACCTTTTATTAGCTTCCCAAAGATTTGGGAATCAACTCCAAATCCCTTCACAAGAAATACACACCAGCAGACACAAGCAAGTGTAGTCATCCTTCAGGGCCTTTGTAGACCCCACCCTGGTGTGCACATCTCGAATTTTGCCGGATGTGTCTCCCATTCTTTGCTAGGAAATTTCCCCCATGAGCTAACACCTCCATATCCCTCTAAACATTCAAAGTTCACTTTTACCAGGAACCTCCCTTGACCCAAAGGCCTGTCTTTCTTCCCCGGCCCCTCTCCTCTGCCCCCACACATGCCTCTTGTTCTGAATCACTCACAACACCCCTACAACTCTTCCCCTACCGTTTACGGTAACTGAGAGGTAATAAAGATGCTTCCCTTCTCTCCTTAATTGTAGAGCTGGGGGGAACAGCCAATGCCCAAGCCTCAAAGGCTAAGAATCACAGAGATTGTTCTCACTACCTGCCCAGTGGAGGGTCAGCTGTGGGTTCACTCATCTTCTAAGTGAAAGGAACAGTCCTCATCTGAGATGTACTTCTGCCTTAGCAGAAGGAGAGAAGCAGGAGAGGTGAAGAAACATCCCAAAGGTTCCTGAAGATTCTAACAGCCCTTTCCAATCATACTGGCCAAATCAAACCCCGTGGCTAACTAAGCCTGAGGCCAGTGAGGTGGGGACACACAACGTTCCCAAGACAGTGACGGTAAATCTCGTGACAACAGGCAGACTTCTGCCTCCTTCTCTTACAGAGAAAGAGAAAATAATCCAGAACAATAAAGCGATCTGCTATCGGCCAATAGCTTTCCTCCTCCATCTTCACTAGTAGAAATTAAATCCGCACACGGTTGTGCTATGCAGGTGAGGCAGGACCCATCGGCACCCATCTGAGTACGCAGCAGCTCCAAGTTTTCCATTTTCTTATGTTGGGCTCCAGGGACTTACGACCTTTTTTACCCAATCCCTCTTCAAAACTGCCACTTCAGTTTTAGGTCATAGGAGCCTATTCCCTACTTCTTCCAAGACTCAATGTGCCAAAGAATCCACTGTTCCTTTCTAGAGCCTTCTTTGCAGTTTATACCAAAACAACACACCAGCCTTTCTCCTATCCTTGCTAAGCACGAAAGGAAACAGCAGTGACACGATGGCCACCAGTGGGAAACTGAGGGGGTTCAATGTCCCCAAAGGCCCCACCGTCGTAACCTGACTGCTTTCTCGGCAGATGTGTGGAAGCACCAAATACCTTTCCGAACAAGGACTCCACCACCGTCTTCAACCTCTCACTCCACCGATCACCAACCCAAGACTAAAACAAAAGCAGTTGGATTGGGAGCGAAGCTAATAAAACCTAAGCTTCAGCGTGGTACGATTTTCCTACGCCGCTGTAACAAATTACCACAAATTTGGTAGCTTGAAACAATACTTACTTACTCTTTCACAGTGCTCGAGGCTACAATCTGAAATCAGTAGCAGGAGGCCCAGGTCAAAGTGTCTGCAGGGCCACATCCTTCTAGAAGCTCTAGGGAACATGCTCTCTTTGTCCTCCCCAGTTCCGGGCGACCCCCAGCACCCCGGTCTCAGCCTCCGTGATCACACTGCCTCATCTCCTTCTGCCTGAGTCTCTCTCTCTGCCTCTGCCTTATGGAGAGGCACACAATGGTATTTAGGGCCCATTCAGATAATCCAGGATAATGTCCCCATTTTTGAAATCCTTAATGTAATCACAGCTGCAAAGATCTTGTATCCACATAAGGTAGCATGCCTAGGTTCCAGGGGTTAGACGTGAAATCTTGCGGGGGACCATTTTCAGCCCCACCACAAGGGCCCTTAGATACAAAGCCTTGTCTCCATGCCTGGGAGACATGATTCCTACAGACATTCCCTGGGCACGTGGCCCTTGCTGGGCCAGAAGGGGCCCTGTCAGCGGGGGCTTGAGAGCACAAAGGAGCTTTTCTGAATGGTCAACCATGGAAAGCAAAACCAGATGGCCCACCTAGAGAGGGTTCTTATGTGGGGAGAAACCTGAGATCCTTAAATCCAAAACTTGTGTTTATTTGTGTCTCCACAGCATAAAATTATGAAGAGATGAGGAAAAACTCAGCCGTGGAGAACTCACTGGGACCACTTTCATTGTCCATCCATATTATAGAAAATACGGCACCATCCCTGCCCTCGAAAAGGGTCATTAACTAGCATGAGCCATGCATGTGCAAACATTGGTGGTTATTGAAATCCATAAGCATGTTACCTAGATTTTGGATCTGTGAGTTGTCGCAGTCACTGCTTTGTGATGATCCGGGCTTTGCCGTGACTCTCGTCCTGAGAACACCATCCTCCAGTTATCCAACCAAACCGTAGTTGAGATGCAGCTGCGTAGAGATTCAGCAGAGGTCAACTGAGTTGCAGATCCTTGGGTTAATCAAGAGAGAGAAGGGGCTGGTTGGGTGTGACATCACATGGAAGTGCTTTATAAAGCCCACGGCCATCGGCACAGGGTCAGAACCGCCAGCAGTCGAGGGAAGAGGACCCAGAACAGGAATTTCCATATTCTGCTCAGTGCAAGCAACCTACATGTGAAAAATGACCAGAATCCAGAATATTCCCTCGATAGCTGGGAGCCGATTACGCCAACCCTGGGTGAACTGAATCAGAAAAAGAAGGATGTTGAGGGGCGCCTGAGTGGCTCAGTCAGTTGAGCGTCCTACTTCTGCTCAGGTCATGATCTCACGGTTCGTGGGTTCAAGCCCCGCATCAGTTTCTGTGCTGACAGCTCAGAGCGTGGAGCCTGCTTTGGATTCTGTGTCTCCCTCTCTGTCTGCCCCTCCCCTGCTCATGCTGTCTCTTTCTCTGTCTCTCAGAAATAAATAAAAAACATTAAAAAAATTTTAAAAAAGGAAAATGAAGGACATTTTCACCATCTCTCTCCAGGCACCTTCACCATCAGAAAACCTGCTATATCCACACCCTGTTTCAAAAGCACAGAGCCATCAGCAGACAGCTGTGTGAATGCTGCCTGAAAGTAGGCTGATGCGACCCAAGCCTGACTGCCCAGTGGAGAACACGTGACCATGAGAATATGAGTTGCCTGTGGCTACTGGATTCTGGGATGCAGGCTCCAGAGGCAACTGCATGTCCTAGGTTCCCCCAAAGCTGGCAGGAGACAGGCGGGATCATGGGGTGTGTGCTCTGTGGCTGCAGGGCCTGGAACGTTCTCCTCATGTCACGGTGTCCGGACTCCTGCCCCGCCCTGGACTTTGAACCTTGATCATGGTCACGCAATCTCCGCTCTCCTGTATGTGATCTACGGTGAGGACTCCAGATCTGTCCTGGGTGCTCTGTACCCGGAGCCCTGCATGGTCCTCTCCCTGCCCTTTCCCTGGGTTTCTCCCAGCACACACACCAGCTGTAGACGGCGGCAGAGCTCTGCTGCCTCTGAGCCAGATCCAGAACTTCAAAACAATTGGAACCTTGATTTCCATGCCACTGAAAAGACAAAGGGACATCACAGTTCCACATACTCAAGGCTCCTTCGCCTCTGCAAACCTGATGGCATAAACATAAAAATTGGAGGAAAAAAAATAAACGAATAAAGTCACCAGAAAGCCAGCACCGACTTCTGCCACCTCGGACTCCTTCCTCCATTTGCAGGAAGACAGAAGTTATGCGACTTCCAGCAAACGTCAAATTGAAGGGAGGAAAAATGCAGTCTTGTGCTTTCAGATTCTCTCCACTAGGTGGTGCGCACTGAGCCTTTGAAAAAAATAAAAATCAAAGATTTTGCGTGACTCCTATTTCCTTCCAAGTACAAATAGGATTTTTGCTTTCTAGGAATGGGAGGCTAAGCTCAGGAAAAAGGAAACTGAATTCAGACCCAAGATTATGGAAGTTTTTTTTTTTCTACCACTAGACTTCTGCCTTCTGTTTTCTCTCTCGAACTATCACTGCTGAACAGAAGGCAGAGATTCTCCCTGAACCTTCCTGATGAATAAATGGCTAAGCTTTTCTGTGATCAGTCACCTGTGTTCTTCAGGCCCTTAAGTGTGGGTGAAACTATTGTCCTCTTAACAGGTAAGTTAACTGCTTTTCACGGGCCCCAAATATTCATGCTTAAAAACAGAAAGGCTCCCCCAAAACCTTGACTTACACCTTTCCATGTAAGAACAGCCTAAAGATTACCTTGTACTGCAAGGTGCTTAACAATCTACAAGGGGCGCCTGGGTGGCTCAGTCAGTTAAGTGTCCGATTTTGGCTCAGGTCATGGTTTCACCGTTCGTGGGTTCAAGCCCCGCATCGGGCTCTGTGCTGACAGCTCAGAGCCTGGAGTCTGCTTCAGATTCTGTGTCTCCCTCTCTCTCTGACCCTCCCCTGCTCACGCTGTCTCTCTCTCTCTGAAATAAATAAATCATTAAAAAAAATTTTTTTTAAATAAGAAGGGCCACTGAAGTCAGAAGTTCTAAGCTTCCATTTAAACCTCCAACATTTAAACCTGTGAAACTGGTAAAGTCACAATTTGTAAGAGGCCTCAGTTTCAACATCCACAAAATGGTAGTAATGGTTTGGGAAGCAAGTGATAAAATGCGTGTGAAATTTTAAGGCCTGAAATGCCCAGCATCACTAGTTGTGAGGAAGATGCAAATTAAAATCACAATAAAGTATTACTCGATACCAATTAGCATAGCTATTATCGAAAAAAACAAAAACCCTAACAAATGTTGGGACACCTGGGTGGCTCAGTCTGTTGTGTGACTCTTGATTTCAGCTCAGGTAATGATCCCAGAGTCATGGGATCAGGCGCTGCGCTGGGCGTGGAGCTTGCTTAAAATTCTCTCTCTTTTCTCTCTCTTTCAAATGCATTTAAAAATCTTTAATTAAAAAAAGGTAACAAATGTTGGTGAGGATATGGAGGAATTGGAATCTCTGTGCATTGCTTGCAGAAACCTCAAATCCTGCAGCTGCTGCACAGAACACTTTGGCAGCGCCTCAAACAGCTGAATCTAGAATGTTCATGTGATCTGGCATTCCACTCCTAGGTATGTACTCAAAGGAACTGAAAGCAGGAATTCAAACGGATACTTGTACACTAATGTTCGTTGCGGCAGTATTCACAATAGCCAAAAGATGGAGACAACCCTAGGGTGTGTCCACAGATGAATGGATAAACAAAATGTGGTATATATCCATGCAATGAAATCCTATTCAGCCATAAAGAGAAATGAAGTACTGACACATTACAACATAAATGAACCTTACAAACTTGATACTACATGAAATCAACACAAAAGGACAAATGCTGCATTATTCCACTTCATGAGGTACAGAGAACAGATAAATTCATAGGGACAAAAAGTAGATTAGAAGTTAGGACCGACTTGGGGCACCTGGGTGGCTCAGTTGGTTAAGCGTCAGACTTCGGCTCAGGTCATGATCTCACGGCTTGTGAGTTCAAGCTGCACGTCAGGCTCTGTATTGACAGCTCAGAGCCTGGATGGAGCCTGCTTGGGATTCTGTGACTTCCTCTCTCTCTGTCCCTCCCCCACTCATTCTCTCCCCCCCCCTTCAAAAATAAATAAATATTAAAATTTTTTTCAAAAAAAAAGTTAGGGCCAACTAGGGGAAGGGGATGTTGAAAGCTATTGCTTGCATGGTTACAGAGTTTCTGTTTGGGGTAACAAACAAGATTTGGAAATAGATAACTGGTGCCATTGCACAACATAGTGAATGTAATTATTGCCACTGAACTTTACACTTAAAAAATTAAAGTGGTAAATTTCACGTTGTATACATTATGCCAAAATAAGGAAATACAAGGTAACAATAGGTGGATTGAGACCAATTTAGCATTCAAAATCAAGAACAGCTTTGGGAATGGCATTTTTCTTAGTGACTATATTTGGTGATTAAATTTCCTTATCCATAAAAAAAAAAAATCCCCAAAGCCTGGCACGTAACTCCTTCAAATCACATTTGAATTCTGCTGGCATGCGTCGAGTTTCTTCTGGCTTGCTTCATCATCCCAGCAATCTTGCAAGGCGCCAAGGATGGCTGTCCCTACACAGTATTCTTCCAGAGCCCCTTCTAGGTACAGACTATCGCTGAATCTTAGGACAGAGAGGATAAGAGCAGAAGAAGACACCGTGAAGGGAAAGACGTAACATTCAGTGAGCGAGCGCTCTGTACGCCAAGCGTTTTACATCCCTCCTCGCAGCCCAAATTCTATCTCTGCATTTTCCCAGATCCCTCAGTCGGGAGTGATTTCTCTCTATCTGATATTTTCAAGCCTCTCTGAGACATTTCTACAATCTGCTCTAATGTAAGGGTTGTATTTGCACGCGTCTCATTTAGCATATCGTGAGGACCTACAGGCAGGAGCTTCTTCTCCCCTGCCCTCTCCTTCCCGTCATCCACCTGCTCTCCCACCCATCGGCCATGGTCGTAGGGAATGTTGGCCATGGCCTCTGTCCAAGCTCTCTCCAATCTGACAGCAGGGTGCGTTTGCCAAGCATTTTTCTCTACAAACAACCGCTTTTCATCTGTTTTATTTACTGTAACCTCAGCTTTTATCAGCCCCCCAAGACATCCACACATCGCCACCACAAAGGCCCAACCATAAGCACCACCGACAAATCCTAAAAAGGATAAGAAGTAAATGGCACCAGCAGGGAGACTATCTGAAGGAAGGCACTAGAAAACAGCCTCAATTCAGGCTTTAATCCAACAAGGCACGAGACTTTGCTCGACATACAAAAAAAGATGAGTGCCACCTCGTCCTTATCCCTCAATGAGCTGGCAATTGTCTTTGTACACGCTTCCTTTACTGAAAATCAGAGCTCCCAAACCACAGAACATCATCCCCTCATCACACAAGATAAAGTCTGGAACAAGATGCTATTGATACACTTTCCACACAGGATCTCACTTAAATTTTACATCAACTAAGTGAAGTCCTTCCCAGTCTGGCATCGGCTACCTCGATAGTTCCTCTCACTAATCTCTGCCCAGAACTCTGTTCTTCGGACACACAGAACTACCTTCCATCTGTTACCTGAAGGTCCAAGTTCTCTCTCTCCTCAAGTCTTCTATGAACAGTGTTTCTTTTGCCTGGACCCCCGTCCCTATCACTACCACTCACCCTTGATGTTCTTCTAACTAACATCTACTCATCTTTGAGGTCTGATCTCAGAAGTCTTCCTCCTGAAAACCTCCTCCACACTCCCAACACTGAGTTTACTACCTGTCTTCCAAGATACCATGAACCCATTAATTTTGTCTAAAGTGGCACTAATCAGACTCTTAAAAGTTCATGTTGACTTGCCTGTTTCCTCCCCTAAGCTGAGAGGTCTGTAAGAATAGGGACCAGGGGCACCTGGGTGGCTCAGTCGATTGAGCTTCCGACTTCAGCTCAGGTCACA